ATTCAGGAGACAAGGAGGAGGCCAGACCCAGTGGAGCGAAGGCAATGGGCACTGTTGTGAGGAGAGAGGAGGTCAGAAAGATAGGGGGATGCGGAGGAGTGGAGGGATTTGAAGACAAGAGTGAGGATCTTGAAGTTGATCCTTTCTGGGAAGGCAGCCAGTGCAGTCTGGCAAGGACTGGGGTAATCGGGGAGGGGAGTTTGGTGCAGGTAAGAATGCAGGTGGCAGAGTTTTGGATGACCTGGGTTTTATGAATGGTAGTGGAGAGGAGACCGGCGAGGAGGGAGTTAGAGTAGTCCAGCCGAGAGGTGACAAAGGCATGGACCAGGGTTTCAGAGGCTTTTGGAGTGAGGTATTGGCGGAGACGGGTGATGCGCCGGAGGTGGAAGAAAGCAGTGCTGGTGAGGAACCAGATGTGGGGGAGGAAGGATAATTGGGGGTCGAATCTGAGACCTAGGTTGCGTGAGGTAAGGGACAAGCAGGAGGCTGGGGCCAGTTGAGCAGAGGTGCCAGGTGATGGATTGGGGAGTGAGGAGGTAGAGAGGCCAGAGAGTGAATTTGAACACAAGTGTGAGGGTCTTGAAGATGATCCGTTTGGTGATGGGGAGCCAGTGGAGCCTGGCTAGAACTGGTGAGATGTGGGTATGGAATTTGCTCCGGGTAAGTATGCCGGTGGCATAATGCTGAATGAGCTGGATTTTGTGAACAGTGGAACTGGGGAGACCAGCGAGGAGTGCGTTTGAATAATCCAGGCGGGAGGTGACAAACGCATGCACGAAGGTTTTGGCTGCATTTGGGGTAAGGTATGATCGGAGGCAGGCGATGTGGCGGAGGCGGAAGAAGGCGGTCCTGGTCAGGGTCCGGATGTGGAGGAGGGAGGGCAGCTGGGGGTCGAACCCAAAGGGTCTCAAAGCACTTCACAGTAATTACTGATGAGTATAGTAACTATGTATTTGTAGGCATGCTCAGGAGATCAGGACCCATTGGCCTGATAAATGAAGAAATCAGTAGAACCATGAGGAGGTCAGGTAAACCTTCTGGAAGGGAGGACCAACTCGAAAAAAAAAAGGCTGTCTGAAGATTTTTTAAAAATATACTTTTTCAAGTATAGCTTAAAAAACATCAATCGATAAAAAAAATATGGAAGAGTCCAAATTTTGAAAGGTGAGCACTAAAACGTCAGACAAGATGTTAAATCGAAGTCCTATCTGCCTGTTCAGGTGGATGTTAAAGTTCCCATAGCACAATTTGAAAAGAGAAGGGAATATCTCCCCATGTCTTGTCAAGCAATCCCTCAAATAAAATTGGTCATTCACATCATGGCTGTTTGTGGGACATTGCTGTGAACAACTGGCTGCCGTGTTAAACCCTGAAAAGACAGTCAATGCACTTTACAGGATATCTTATGAAGTGCTTTGAGACATCGCAACAGCATGATAAGGCACTAAATCAAGTAAAAGGATTATTATTAATTATTAAAATTACTGAACCTATAATATCCGCAACGGTTTGTAGAGTTACTGATGCATTTTGCAAAAAAGCTTTTTTGATGCAACTAATGACTCCTAAACCATGAGATTGTGTGGAACCAAGACTGTTGAATTGATCCCTGCTGGGAAAACACACATTATAGGTCTGACTCATACTTTTATGTATGTATCATTTATGCTGTATGCTGTGTAGGAAGTGTGATCAGCGGATGCAATGACAGACTTTCCAAATCACCAAGACAAGAGGACACAGATTTAGAATTGCAAAGGGCAATTTCAGGATCAACACCAGTAAGTATTTATTTACTCAGAAGAGACTTAAGGACTAGAACAGGTACCAACAAGGGTATTTTATTAAACCCAATGAAATCCTAGTCCATGCTCTTCTCCAAGAGGAACAAAAGCAGTGAGGAGGACTTGAGTTGAACTGCTTTCCAAACATATCCAATCACCAAAGAACAAACGTTCCTCGGAATAGCTTTCCAAAGGAACCTGGCGCTGGGATGTTGGTGCGGCTGAACTGGCTTCTGATCCTTTGAGGAAGGAAGAATGTGTTCAGGACTATACAAAGAATACATCTGCCCTATCCTGGAGTGGAGCCATAGTGCCTAGTGCACAGTGAGCTAGCCCCAAGTCAAAAAATATCAAGGGATCCAGAACCGAATAAGGCTCGTGTATTGCCTACCCTGTTTTATCTGTTCACCCTACCCACACAAGATCTCTGGACAGCAAAAAATTGAGGGAAGATTTCTGCAGATCAGAAAAAAATACCTCCAGAAGACACAAAGTGATCCTTCAATATCCGCATTGATAGAGCAAGGACAGAACCCACTGCACTACACCTGTCAGTCGGTCTGCAGTAAAGGGTGAGCCCCTGCCCAGTCCAGCCCCACTGATCTCAGATCTGTCTGAATCTCACAACAGGTAGGGTCATCCTCAAAGGCAGCATAACACCACAAAAGGATGAGAAACGGGTTAGAAACTCTGAGCCATCCTCAGCAGGTTGCCAACAACAGTAGCAGTAGTAAAGTAGTAGTAGTAGTAGTAACCAGGAAGCGTGGTTGAGGTCAGGACACTGATCTCATTTTCTTTTAATTTTTTTTAAAAAAAGCACGACGCTGAGAATAGGAAGTGGGCAGAGTGGGTCCTCTGGAAGGATAAGATCAAATAGACCGAAGAGCCTTCCTACTTTTGGACCGAACTGAATCTGGTGTGTGGTGCACGGGGGGGTGTGTCAGGTTGTGTGTGTGTGCGGGGGGTGTGTGTGTGTGTGCGCGGGGGGGGGGGGGTGTGTGCAGGTGTGTGTGTGCACGGAGGGGGTGGGGTGTGTCTGTGATGTGTGTGTGTGCGGGGGGGGGGGGGGGTGAGGTGTGTGTGTGCGGGTGTGTGTGTGCGCGGAGGGGGTGGGGTGTGTGTGTGTGTGGTTGGGGGGGTGTGGGGGGTGTGTGTGTGGGGGGTGTGTGTGGGGGGGTGTGTGTGTGCGGGGGGTGGGGTGGGGTGTGTGTGCGGGGGGGGAGTGTGTGCGGTGGGAGGGGTGTGTGTGCGGGGGGGTGTGTGTGCGGGGGGGGTGTGCGGGGGGGGTGCGCGGGGGGGGTGTGCGGGGGGGGGTGTGCGGGGGGGAGTGTATGCGGTGGGAGGGGTGTGTGGTGTGGGGGGGTGTGTGTGCGGTGGGGGGTGTGTGTGCGGGGGGGGGGGGTGCGGGGGGGGTGCGGTGGGAGGGGTGTGTGTGTGCGGGGGGGGGTGTGTGCGGTGGGGGGTGTGTGTGTGCGGGGGGTGTGTGGGGGAGGGTGTGCGGTGGGAGGGTGTGTGTGTGCGGGGGTGTGCGGTGGGAGGGGTGTGTGTGTGCGGGGGGGGGTGCGGTGGGAGGGGTGTGTGTGTGCGGTGGGGTGTGTGTGGGGGGGAGTGTGCGGTGGGAGGGGTGTGTGTGTGCGGGGGGTGTGTGGGGGGGGTGTGCGGTGGGGGGTGTGTGTGCGGTGGGGGGTGTGTGTGTGCGGTGGGGGTGTGTGTGCGGGGGGGGTGTGCGGTGGGAGGGGTGTGTGTGTGCGGTGGGGTGTGTGTGTGCGGTGGGAGGGGTGTGTGTGTGCGGTGGGGTGTGTGTGCGGTGGGAGGGGTGTGTGTGTGCGGGGGGTGTGTGGGGGGGGGTGTGCGGTGGGAGGGGTGTGTGTGTGCGGTGGGAAGGGGTGTGTGTGTGCGGGGGGGGGGTGTGTGTGTGTGCGGTGGGGTGTGTGTGGGGGGGGGTGTGCGGTGGGAGGGGTGTGTGTGTGCGGGGGGAGGGGTGTGTGTGTGCGGGGGGTGTGTGGGGGGGGGGTGTGCGGTGGGAGGGGTGTGTGTGTGTGCGGGGGGAGGGGTGTGTGTGTGCGGGGGGTGTGTGGGGGGGGGTGTGCGGTGGGAGGGGTGTGTGTGTGCGGGGGGTGTGTGGGGGGGGGGGTGTGCGGTGGGAGGGGTGTGTTTGTGCGGGGGGGTGTGTGGGGGGGGGGTGTGCGGTGGGGGGGTGTGTGTGCGGTGGGGAGGGGTGTGTGTGTGCGGTGGGGGGTGTGTGTGCGGTGGGGGTGTGTGTGTGCGGTGGGGGGTGTGTGTGCGGTGGGAGGGGTGTGTGTGTGCGGTGGGGGTGTGTGTGCGGTGGGGGGTGTGTGTGCGGTGGGGGGTGTGTGTGCGGTGGGGGGTGTGTGTGCGGTGGGAGGGGTGTGTATGTGCGGTGGGGGGTGTGTGTGCGGTGGGAGGGGTGTGTGTGTGCGGTGGGGGGTGTGTGTGCGGGGGGGTGTGTGTGCGGGGGGGGGTGTGTGTGTGCGGTGGAGGGGTGTGTGTGTGCGGTGGGAGGGGTGTGTGTGTGCGGTGGGAGGGGTGTGTGTGTGCGGTGGGGGTGTGTGTGTGTGCGGGGGGTGTGTGGGTTTGTGTGTGCGGTGGGAGGGGTGTGTGTGTGCGGGGGGTGTGTGGGGGGCGTTGTAGAACTCGTAAAAATGGCAGCGGGTCGACACTCCCGTGACGTCACCAGAAACCGCTCAATCGGCGCTGGCTGACGTGCGTGGGCCGGTGTTGCCCGCTGCGCAGTCGCGTCCGCCTGTGTTGACAGTTGGTGTGGGGCTGGAGCCGCGGGGGACGAATACGCGGAGAGGGGGACCTGGGGCAGCGGCTAAACACCCGTGACCGGCAAATCCGGGGGAGGAAGCGGACGGGCTCGTATTACAATTAAAACCGTCACCGAGAAGGAGGGAGCTCGGCGCGCCCGGCGATTTTTTTTAAAAAGAAAAAGAGCGTCCGTCTGTTGTCAGGTTGAAAGACAGCGGAAATAACTTACTGGCCGCCAGCGGGGCCTCGGTTATTGTCAGACCGGGGGCAGGCAGGGAGAGAACCTCGCCGTGAGTGAGAAACGAGTGGCCACGGCACGGAGAGCCACCGCCCGCGCTGCCGGCCGGAGCCAGCGAGTGACCCGCGCGCGAACCCGGCAGCCTGCATGGAATGCTCGGCGCAGTTTGAATTCTAACGGCCGCCCCGACGTCCTCGCGCAGAGGCAGCGCTCGAGCGGCCCACCGGCGCGAGGAGGAGGAGGAGGAGGAGGCGGCGGCGGCGGTGGTGAGAGCTGAGCAGAGGCCACCCCGCAGCGGCTACCTGAGGAGAGGAGGGGGGCGAGGCCGGCGAGGGCTCAGCGGGGCCACGCTCACCCCCAGGTCGGAGTGGAGGCGGAGGCGAGCGACGAGGCGTTTTGGGACTCCGCCATGGACGAGCACCCGAGCGCCGGCGTGTTTTTCGCTAATAATTCAGTGCTGAGCGGCGGCATGGGGGGGCCGGGCATCGGCAGCAGGAGCCCGCAGCAACAGGGCCAGGAGGGCGAGGCTCCGAGAGCGCAGTACAACATCCCGGGCATCCTACATTTCCTGCAGCACGAGTGGGCCCGCTTCGAGGTGGAGAAGACGCAATGGGATGTGGAAAGGGCGGAGTTACAGGTAATGACCGAGGGACATGTTCAGGCTCTGGGCGCGGGGGGGAAAGCCGCCCCGGGGCCAACGGCGCTTTGTTTATACTGTAGGAGAGTGAGCCGAGTGGCAGCTCCTGGCTTGGGTTCAGCTACGGGCACATTATTTTGTACGTGTTTCGGTTTGATCCAGCGTTAGTCCGGGTCACGGAGCGGCTGAGTTTGTAACGTGCGGCTCTCTGTCCCCCTCCTCCCGTGCTGTCGGCCGCCGGGGCCGGGGCGAGAGATGCGGGGCGACAGGAGCGGTTTTGCAAGCTTGACATTCCAAGATGGCGATCAACCCATCGAGCCCTTGACAAACCCCACAGGCAGCCGCTCAAAAAAAAGTTACTTGAAGGCTTGGACTTTGACGATTAGCATTATTTAATCCGAGAGAGCTGGAGGGTGGTGGGGGTGGGGGGGGGTGTAGAAAAGTCGTAGAATTTGACGGTGGATTCGCAAATAAGTTCAGCGCTGTTCGTGCTGTAAGGGCAACGTAAGTGTTTCGTAAAGGAAGTAAGCGAGCTCGAGCAAAAGAGTGAAGGAAGTAGTGAGTGTATTGAGCAAAACGGGTGGATGATTGAACGATTGCAATAGAGTCATTGCTCAATCGTCCACCTGACAGTGGGGTAATTGGTGTTCAGGCGCATGATTCACAGTATATCTGGGTCATTTTCCACCTGCTGAATTTTATACCAGTGTTGCTTGCGAAGTCCTATTATGAAACAGTGAGATAAATTTGATTGTAATAAATAGGAATTAAAACAGCTAACCGAATTAGTTATCGAGGAACAACGGGAGAGGGATTAGGAGGCAAGGAGGCTCATACGTTTAATAATAATGTTTAGATTTGATGGTGCCTTTCACATCAGGAGGATGTCTCAAGAGTGCTTCATCGGATATACTGTAACGTACAGTGTCTGTATCTTGTAGGCATTCAGTTTCCTACCAAAAAGATTAGATTTATTTGTACTAGTCATATTTTATAAATCGGATAAATTACCAATTCATAACGGTTTCTTGGTTCCAAGTAATTCTAATCCTATGCAAATCATCTCCTAAATTGTAATGGCACATACACACTTTGCATTGGAGTATGCCTGCACGGTGTTTCAGTTAAAACAAGCTTGGGAAACAAAGTCTTGACCAGTCACCACATGCATGCTACATTGATGAAGTACCGCACATGCAGTCCAGTGTACTCCATTGAAAAAATTGCAGAAAACGATATACTTGTTTGCTGTTATATGTTAGTTGTGTAAAATCCAACTTATACTAGTTTGCCTGTATCTTGTGAAATTTATATTAAATGTTATGGTCCTGACTTCTGCAAATTTTACTATATTGTCACTGGGCTTCCATAGGGCAGGTCAATGGGATTGAAAGGATTGTTCTTTGAAAGAGCCATAACAGACTTGATGGGCTGAATGGTCTTCTGCGCTATAAATTTCTATAGATCTGTGTTTTTGATTAAATTTCAGCATGTTCAGTTGGTAGCACCCTTGCCTCTGAGTTACAAGGTTATGGGTTCAAGCCCCAAATTGGGATTTGGAATTTATAGTCTTAAATTGACACTCAACTCACTACAATACTTGGTGTGTATACAATACAATTGTTGGAGGTGCTGTGCTTCAGATATGTCAGTTAGGTAAGGTCTTATCTGCCTGTTCAGGTAGACGTTAAAGATCCCAGTGCACTATCAGAGAAGAGAGTTTCTTCCAATGTCTGGTCAATAATTTCCCAGATAAAATTGTTCATTCACATCTTGGCTGTGTATGGGTCCTGTAGCATATTGGGTAGAGAGCACTCGCCTTGCAAGCGACAGGACATGGGTTTGAAGAAAGAAATTAATAATTTGGTCACTTCAATCAACGACTGTTTGTGGGACACTGCTGTGTGCAATTGGCTGCCGTGTGCAATTGGCTGCTGTGTTTCGCCCACAAATATACAGTCAATTCACTTTACAGTATATTTGGTGAAGCGCTTTGAAACGTCGAGAAGACGTGCGAAGTGCTATATCAAATGCAAGGATTATTATTCTCAGGTAGGATGAAACCTTAGACGAGTTTCCTTTCTCTAGATGCCTAGCCAGCAAGTTGAAAATCGATTGTTTTGCGGATTGTATTCTGGATGTAATAATCCCTTCAATAAAAAAAATTCACTCAATTCACAATTGTTTGTGGGATACTGCTGTGTCCAATTGCCTGCCGCGTTTCACCCATAAAATATAAAGTCAATTCACTTTCGAGTGAACCCATATCTTATGAGCGACATGATACAACGCTTTATCAGATGCAAGTATTATATCTATTGACGCATTTTGAGACATCTTTCTGATATGAAAGGCCCTATATCAAATCCAAGGATTATTATTGTTTTAATATTTTATATTATGATTATACTATGATTTGGGTTTGAAAAATGGGTAATATTTAAGTTTGACTGAGAACCAGTATTAAAATAATAAAATTGTTGCATCATTATTTTCTTCAAGATGAATCTCGTTCATCTAAATGGCCACCTTACATTATTGTCAAGAAATGCAGTACAAAATCACATTTGTATAATGCATTTCATGTCGGGAGGACTTCCCAAATAGCTACTGAAGTACTGTTACTACATTTTGTTCTATAAACACATGCACTGTATTGTGTTCAAGATCACACATGATATAAAACAATCATGGCAGCTATCCTGGTAAAAATAAATAAACTGAAAAACCAATTGACTTTTAATTTCCCTTCCTAAAAATGTTCAACAGAGTGCCTATAATTACATGCATATTAAAGTGCCCAACTAATCAAATTTAGATTTTGAGTAAAATATGTCTTATTTCTGCAAGAGTGCTGCTTTACGGTGGTTGTTGTTTTTACTGTGCACCAATATGCAGTATTATTGACTGATAGTAAGACAAAATTGTGAATGTGGTTCACAATTCAGCACATCCAGAGGAAGCATGTATTTCCAGTGTTCTTAATTTATATTTTCATTTGCCTCCCTGAGCAGGTAGCTTTGGATTTTGCATTGAAAGTCACCTCTCATAGCAAAATTCCACAGGAATATAAGAAAACTGAAATAGGTTGAGGGCATTCAGCCTGTTTCATTAGTTTATTTGATATTTGAATCCTGATTTCCATACCCTTTATATAGATGTATATTGTATATAATTTTCTATTGTATATGTATAAATAGATGGTCAACCTCCAAGGCTAGTATATCCTTTCTAAGATTGGGTGCCCAAAACTGAACAGTAAGCACTCAAAATGAGGTCTGACCAGCTCTATATATAACTAGAAAAGCACGCCTTTTTACATTCTGGACTAGGCATTTCATAGTTTAGTGTCACCTGTAAATTGATCTATGGAGGATACCACTCATCTATGGAGGATGCCAGCCAGAGAATGTCTTTTTTATAACCACTCTGCCACTTACCTAACAAATAATTTCCTCTCCATGATACAATATCTTCAATTCTATGTGTCTTAATTTTAGCCAATTGCCCTTTAAGAAAAGTGCTTATAGTAATGAGCTATTTTAGTTCATTATCTCAGTTATTTGAACACTCTTTTCAAGAATTCTTTTATGTTTCAAAATTAATTGAATGATATTTAGCCAAACAGATAATGCAAGACTGGAAGTGCTTTTATCCTTTAAATTATACTGTTTTCTACCTGCACACTTGTTTGTAATTATGATAACTGCAAGTTTTCTTTGTTCCATCAATGTTTTTTTATTAACCTAACTTATTGAAGTCGTGTTGCTTAGTGGTTAGAGTACTCACATCGCAAGCAAGAGAACCTGGGTTTGATTCCCAGACAGGGTGAAATGTTAGGCGAGTTTCCTTACTCCAAATATCCCTGTTTACCTGACAATAAGTGGGAACACAGTTGTTAGTTGATTGGCGGATTGCCTTTCCCGGGGTAATAATCCCTTCAAAACAAAGTTTTTAAAAACACTAATGTTTTGGTCACTCAATCCACAACTGTTTGTGGGACATTGCTGTGTGCAATTGGCTGCACAAGTGTACAGTTAATTCACTTTACAGTATATTCTGTGAAACGCTTGGAGACGTCCCGAAGATGGGATAAGACGCTGTACGAAATGTTGTTGTTGTTATTATTAGAACTTGTTATTGTAATTAATTGTGAAATGTTTTTTAATGTAATTTAAATGCTTGCCTATTAATCAGCAATACACAGTAAGATGGAGTCCTGTAGCTCAGTGGTTAGAGCACTCGCCTTGCAAGAAAGACACCTGGGTTCAATTCCAGGCAGGGCGAAACCTTGGGCAAGTTTCCTTACTCCACACGCCTAATAATAATCCCTCCAAAAACAAAACGATAATAAATTGGTCATTTTCAATCCACGACTGTTTGTGGGACACTGCTGTGTGCAATTGGCTGCCGCATTTTGCCCACAAATACACAGTCAATTCACTTTACAGCATATTCTGTGAAGTGCTTTGAGACGTCTCGAAGACGTGAAAAGCGCTATATCAAATGTAAGGATTATTATTATTAAGATTCATAGTCAGTTGGTAGAATGCCATAGCCACATTAGTATTCAGTGCAATAAGACCTTACCATTGAACTCTCATCTGACCTCTCTTGTAGCGGTTTGTCTGTTCCCACTCTTCCTCTATATACAGTTTCATTGTCTCAGCCATGTTTGTTTTCCATCTGTGATCCATTCCAACCACTTTGGACTGAATAAATCTTCAGCCACATTTTACACATCTTGTCCATCACGGTTGCACAATAACTCAATCATTCCTCACAATCTGCTCATTATTTCAGTGTTAGTTTATTTGTTCCACAGTTGATCTCTCTCTCACTTTCCGTATAGAGCATATTCTGAGGCTCCTAGCCTCTCATTCTGTCGCTTCATTACAAAGTGTGACTCTCAATGTCATACACAAATGTCAACTGGACATTAGTCTTATACATAGTTACTGCATAACTGTATGCTGTCATAACATTGTAAACTGGCCTTA